AAAAAAAAAAAAAAAAAAAAAAAAAAAGGCTCATTGCCCATAGCTCAGTGGTTAAGAGTGCTGGCCACATACACCAGGGCTGGCGGGTTCAAACCCAGCCTGGGCCCGCTATGACAACTACAACAAAAAAATAGCTGGATGCTGTGGCAGGAACCTGTAGTCCCAGCTACTTGGGAGGCTAAGGCAAGAGGTTGAGTTTGCTGTGATACCACAGCACTCTACTGAGGGTGACGTAGTAAGACTCTGACTCAAAAAAAGAAGAGATAAGAGATGGCAAAAAAGCACACGAAAAGATGCTCACCATCATTAGCCAACAGAGGAATCCAAATTAAAACCATGAAATACTGGGTGGCACCTGTGGCTCCCAGTGAGTAGGGCGCTGCCCCATATACCCAGAGTGGCAGGTTCAAACTCGGCCCCAGCCAAACTGCAACAACAGCAACAAAAATAGCTGGGCCAGGCATTGTGGTGGGCACCTGTAGGCCTAGCTACTTGAGAGGCTGAGAAAAAAAAAACCAAAAAAAAACTGCAAAATACCATCAAGCCACAGTCAGCAACAGCATTGCATCATATAAGGGTAGCCAGAGATTAACGTAACAACTAAGACTATGAAGCTTCCAATGGAAGACAAAGGAGAAAAACTAAGCCTCACATGGATTTCTTAGATAGGACACAAAAACCACAAATCAGAAAGAAAAACATTGATAAACTAAGGTGCATCAAAAGTAAAAATTTGACTCTGGGAGGTTGAAGCAGCTGGATTGAGCTCAGAAGTTCAAAACTAGCCTGAACTAGAGTGAGACCCCATCTCTAAAGACAGCTGGATGCTGTGGCAGGCGCCTGTGTTCCCAGCTACTTGCAAAGCAGAGGCAAGAGAATCACTTAAGCCCAAGATTTTGAGATTGCTGTGAGCTATGATGCCATGGCACTCTACCAAAGGTGACAACGTGAGACTCTATCTCAAAAAAGAAAACAAAACAGAAAGTAAAAATTTGTTGTTTAGAATCACTGTCTAAGAAGATGAAAAGATAAGCCACAAACTGGTAGAAGTATTTGTAAAACACATATCTGATAAGAGTCTTGTATCCAGGACTCATAGAGGGAGACAACTCAATATAAGTAAGAAAGCCAACAATATAATTTAAAGACTTAGACACTTTATCAAAGAAGAGATATGGGGCTCAGCACCCATAGCTCAGCAGTTAGGGCGCTGGCCACATACACAGAAGCTGGTGGGTTCAAACCTGGCCTGGGCCTGACAAACAACAATGACAACTATAACAAAAAAACAGCCAGGCTGAAGCAGCACCTGTGGCTTAAGCAGTAGGGCGCTGGCCCCATATACCGGAGGTGGTAGGTTCAAACACAGCCCCAGCCAAAAAAAAAAAAAAACTGCAAAAAGAAAAAAAAATAGCTGAGCATTGTGGTCAGTGCCTATATTTCCAGCTACTAGGGCGGCTGAGGCAAGAGAATTGCTTAAGCCCAAGAGTTTGAGGTAGCTGTGAGCTGTGATGCCATGGCACTGTACCAAGGGTGACACAGTGAGACTCTGTCTCAAAAAAGGAAAAGGAAAAAAAAAAGAAGAGATACAGATAGCAAAAAAGCACCTGAAAAGATGCTCAACATCATTAGCCAACAGAGAAATGCAAATTAAAACCATGAAATACCACTAATCACCAAATGAGAATTGGCTAAAATTAAAGACTGACCACACTGAGTCTTGCCAAGGACATGGAAAAACTAGAATTTTCATACACTGCCAGGAGAATTGTAAAATGGTTATCACTTTGGAAAACAGCTTTAGAGGGTCTTATCAAATTAAACGTGTACTTAACATGTGCCCCAGCAATTACACTACTATTTAGCTAAGAGAAATAAAATTTTATGTATATAGAAAAACTGTAAACTAATGTTACAGTACCTTTATTTCTGATAACCCCAAATAGAAAAAATACAAATGTCCATCAACTGATGGTAAGTGAATAAACTGTGGTACATCCTAACAATGGAATACTACTTGGCAGCAAAAATGAACCAACCATGGATATAAAAAACAGCAGAGTGACTCTCACACCCACAGGCCAAGGGAAAGAAGCCTAATGCAAATGATTATAGCGGAATGCTACGTGCTTCCACTCATATGGCTTTCTGAAAAATGCAGATGTACAGGCACAGAAATCAGATCAGTGGTTGCCAGGAGCTGGGGCTAAACAGATGGAGCGGCAGTAAAGGAATGGAAGAGGGAACTAACTCCAAAGGAGACTTTCTGAAGTGATGGGAATGTGGAAATGTTCTACATCTTGACTGTAGTGATAATTAAAACTCATGGAACTAAAACATCAAAAGAAGTGAATTTTACCTATGTAAAATTATACCTCCATAAAACTATATCATAAAAATCTTTTTTTTTTTTTTTGAGACAGTCTTACTTTGTCACCCTCAGGAGAGTGCCATGGCATCACAGCTCATAGCAACCTCCAATTCTTGGGCTTAAGCCATTCTCTTGCCTCATCCTCCAAGTAGCTGGGACTATAGGAGCCTGTCACAATACCCAGCTATTTTTTGTTGCAATTCTTATTGTTGTTTTAGCTGGCTGGGGCTGGGTTTGAACCTGCCACATTTGGTATATGGAGCCGGTGCCCTACTCACTGAGTCACAGGCGCTGCCCTATCATAAAAATCTTACCTGCACAAACATTCTTTGTTTTCTTTTATTGAGAACAGAGTCTCACACTGTTGCCCTCAGAAGAGTGCTATGGCATCATAGCTCACAGCAACCTCAAACTCTTCGGTTCAGGTGATCCTTTGGCCTCAGCCTCCCAAATAGCTGGGACTAAAGGTGCTCACAACAATGCCTGGCTATTTTTTTAGAGACAGGGTCTTATTCTTGTTCAGGCTGGTCTCGAACTCATGAGCTCAAGCAATCCACCTGCCTCGGCCTCCCAGAGTGCTAGGATTACAGGTGTGAGTCAGCTCACCCAGCCTGAAAGCATGTCTATTAAGCAGATTAACTCAATATGTTCTTGCTCCTTGTCTTAATGTGTAATAACATATATAGCATTATTTACATAATTTACCTTGGGAGGTGGAAGCAGGAGAATCGCTTGAGCGAGTAAAGGCAATTAGAGTATTTTCCAAAAGTGTCTAATGATCTACACTTTTGAAGTTGTAGAAAAAATTTTAATTTAATATTGAGATTTAGGACTGCCAAAAAGCAAAAAACAAACAAAAAAAGCCCAAACAGGTGCAGGTACATTACAAGAGATAATTAACAAAATGCATGTTTCTAAACAGCAATCTTTCCTATTCTCTTTCTAAACTATAAAGTCAGTACAATATGGACTCTACCTTGCAAATGCAAATACGTGCTCCTTGTCTTAATGTGTAATAACATATATAGCATTATTTACATAATTTATCTCTATAAAACTAAATTAAAAATCTTTTTTTTTTTTTTTGAGACAGAGCCTCAAGCTGTCATCCTGGGTAGAGTGCTGTGGCATCACAGCTCACAGCAACCTCCAACTTCTGGGCTTAAGCGATTCTCCTGCCTCCACCTCCCAAGTAGCTGGGATTACAGGTGCCTTCCACAATGCTCGGCTATTTTTTGGTTGCAGCCATCATTGTTGTTTGGTGGCCTGGGCTGGATTTGAACCCGCCAGCTCAGGTGTACGTGGCTGGCACCTTAGCCGCTTGAGCCACAGGCACCGAGCCTAGATTAAAAATATTATTTGCAACTTGGTGCCTGTAGCTCAGCAACTAGGATGCCAGTCACATACACCAGACTTGGTGGGTTCAAACCCAGCCCAGGCCTGCCAAACAACAATGACAACTGCAACAAAAAATAGCCGGGTATTGTGGCAGGCAACTGTAATCCCAGCTACTCAGAAGGCTGAGGCAAGAGAATCGCTTAAGCCCAAGAGTTGGAGGTTGCTGTGAGCTGTAATGCCACAATACTCTACCCATGGTGACATCTTGAGACTGTCTCTAAGAAAAAAAATCTTATTTGCAGAAACATCCTACATTAGTACTTTATTCTTGCATGGCTAACATTACATTTTAATTTGAAGCCAGGTACCTTCTAAACAGGTTTTTTGTTCTTTTTTTAGGCAGTCTCATTCTGTTGCCCTTGGCAGAGTGCTATGGCATAATCACAACTCACAGCAACTTCAAATTGTTTGGCTCGAGCAATCCTTCCTTCATCTTACAAGTAGCTGGGACTACAGGCCTGTGCCACTATGCCAAGCTAGTTTTTCTTTTCTTTCTTTTTTGCAGTTTTTGGGCAGGACTGGGTTTGAACCCATCAACTCTGGCATATGGGGCCAGCGCCCTACTCCTTTGAGCCACAGGCACCACCCCCAAGCTAGTTTTTCTATTTTTAGCAGAGACTGGTCTCACTCTTGCTCAGGCTGGTCTTCAACTTCCAAGCTCAAGAAATCCACCTGCTTTGGCCTCCCAGAGTGCCAAGATTACAGGTGTGAGCCACCCTGTCTAGCCTCTCAGCCGTTTTTCTATGATCAATCTTACTAAAATCCTCTCAGCGGGCTTAGCACCTGTGTAGCTCAGGGGCTAGGGTGCTAGCCACATACACTGGAGCTGGCAGGTTTGAAACCAGCCCAGGCCTGCCAAACATCGACAATTACGACAACAACAACAAAAGTAGCCAGGCGTTGTGACAGGAGCCTGTAGTCCCACCTACTTGGGAGGCTGAGGCAAAAGAATGACTTAAGCCCAAGAGTTTGAGGTTGCTGTGAGTTGTGACACCATAGAGGGTGACATAGTGAGACTGAAAAAAAAAATCCTCTCAGCAACTCTGTAAGTAGGTGTAAAGATATGGAAAGGTATCCGTGATTGCTTCTTGGCCTTTTGAACAAGAGCATGTGAAAGGTGTTGGTGAAAGGCAATTTGTCTACAGGGCCTCTACTCTTCATTAATTCTTATAGTATATCAAGTAAAGGCAATTAGAATATTTTCCAAAAGTGTCTAATGATCTACACTTTTGAAATTGTAGAAAAAATTTTAATTTAATATTGAGATTTAGGACTGCCAAAAAGCAAAAAACAAACAAAAAAAGCCCAAACAGGTGCAAGTACAAGAGATAATTAATAAAATGCATGTTTCTAAACAGCAATCTTTCCTATTCTCTTTTTAAACTATAAAGTCAGTACCATGTGGACTCTACCTTGCAAATGCAAATACTGTAACCTAATTGAACCCTCACATTAATCTGAAATGAAATTTAAAATAACAAAGTATAAAGTTAGAATGCTATTAGTTTTTAGACAAACTAAATATCTGTTGACCTAACCAGTGCATTTCTCTATATATAGGAAAGCTAAAAGGGACATCAAAGTACAGGATGGTTGCTTAGAAGTCTAGATGCAGTAAGTGCAGAGAGTAATGATACTTTTTCTCACTAGTTGCAGGATTTTATTCAAGTTCTTAGCTTCCCGACTTCATTAAATAAATAAATATTTTAGGAGCTGGAACTTGAGTTTTTAAATGTAGGCATTACAGCTAGACATTTCCCTTGGAGCTTTATCTGCATCCTCTAAGTTTTGGTATATTCTATTTTTGTTTTCATTTGTCTCAAGATTTTTTTTTTAACGTTTCCTGTGGTTTCTTCTTTGACCCATCAGTTTTTAAGATGGTGGTATTTAATTCCACATATCCATGAATTTTCCAGTATTCTTTCTACCGATTTCTGATTTTGCTCCATTGTCGTTGGATAGGATACCGTGTATGGTAACAAATACGGCAAAACTGCATTCTGGAGAATACACGAATGCAACTACTTTATACAGTTAGGAGACTAAAATGATCTGCATGAATCATGCACAGAAGGTGAACAGGCAAATAAATGAGAGAATACTTATTCATTAAAGAATAAAGCTCACTTCAAAAAAAAAAAAAAAAGCTGGAGGGCACAGGGCATTCCTGCCCCTGGGGGGCTGCCCACAGCCTGGTGGACCCCGTCCCCCCTTCCCTGACCCCCACTTCCTTGGCCCCGCACCTCTCCTCCGGCCTATGGTCCACTCGCGTTTCCACAGGAGAACGTGCGGCTCTCCCTCCTCCGCGCCCAGGCGGAGGAGCCGCCCCCAGGGCGGCCGCTGCGGCGGCCGCTCGCCTTCCTCGGGTCGTTCCATCGAGATTTACATCTAACGAGAGTCCGGAAACACCCGGTGAGACCCCATAGGGAAAGCTCGACCACCCAGCCCACACCACCCCGCGGCCCGGCCCCGACACTGGCTGCCCCAGCCTCCACCCGCCTCGCTCACCGCCCTCGCAGCGCCGAACCCGGAACCGGCCGAGCCGCAGCCGCTGTCAACGGACATCGCGGATCCCTCAGCTGATCTCTGGGGCGGGGCGAGTCCGCATTTACGCCCCACGATTGGCTGCCAGCGACACCTACCGAGAGCGGCGGCTAGAGAGGACCCGGAAGCGACTAGCGACAGCTGGCGAGTCAGAGCTAGGAACGTGCGGGCAGGGGAGGCTTCGGGCCCGGAGGCCATCTTTGAGGCTGGCCGGTATGACTCGTCTTCTGGGGATCAAGGAAATAGCTGCTGTTGGGCGCCATGTTATGTTGGGGCAAAAGGGGCAAGTAACTTCTGGAATCTGAACATATTCTTAAAGCTTGTACATACTATTTATGTACACATTTTTGAGACAGTCTCATTGGGGCTAGGATGTATGGCGTCATCATGGCTTACTACAGCCTCAAACTCCCGGGCTCAAGCGATCCTCCTGCCTCAGCCTCCCTAGTAGCTAGTACCATAAGCGCCGCCATGCCTGGCTAATTTTTGTATTTTTAGAAGAGACGGGTCTCGTTTGCTCTTGCTAAGGTTTGACAGTTAAGTTCCTGAATTTGCCACTGTGTGCTTACCTACGTTGGCAGCACCATACAAACACCTCAGTCAGGGTTCATAACCTTGGCAGTTCTGTGTGCCATAGCCATATTAGTATGGACTTGCAGTGGTGCCGAAATGAGTGGCCTTTAGTGCTGTTGACTGTTTCTGTGTGTGTGGGATGAGAGCTCTGATGGTCATTCCATAAAGAGTTTCAAAATTGCTTAACTAGGCGCTGGCACCGAAGCACAGCTTCCCAAGGGGAGAACTTGGAAGGTGACGGCAGTGATATTCAGCAACGAGGTTGGTAGTGTTTTGCTGAGTTCGGGAACTTAATTGTTTGTCCTCATACCTCTTTCCTAGACCTCCACGTCACCAATTTTCAAATCGGGTTTCTTCCAAGTCCCGGACCATTCATCTAAATCATTGGCCGCTGCTCATGAGTCTGTGCAGACTTGTACCTCGAGTCACTTCTTCCAAAGAAAATGGTAAGGTACGCTGCTTAAAGTTCTGCCCACTAGGAGCATTCCCTTCATTACTGTCCCTCAGGGATGTCTCAGAAAGGACCTGCAGGGCAGCACTGTCCACCTCCAGGTCGTAGCCACACAGCATACACCACTGTCTGTAAGCCAGTCTTCTCTCCCTGTTACCTGACCAAGGGGAACTCCCCATGAGGTGATAGATACAGGCTGGGAGAGAGAAGGCAGCATGGCAGGAGTGGGTGCCTTGGGCATTTTGGCCACTGCTTCACATTAACTTACTTGTGCCTTCAGGTTCTGTTCATGTAAATACTTTGTTTGAGGATGGGGTAGTACTCTGTGTGCCTAACTTTATGGATTGCTGCATCAGATGACACTGAGTTTCATGATGGGCAGCTCAGGTCATATGGTAACTTAGTGGGCAGAAGTTTATTATTTAGACCTTAATAAGACCTAGTTGCAGGCCAAAAGCTGGTTCTCAAAAGAAGAGTAGTTCCCTGCATAAAATGTCAGGGCTTTGCTACAAAATCCTAAGGGCCTCTGTAATGACTCACCTATAGATGCTCTCCAGCGATTCCAGACAGCATCCCTGTCTGCTATCAACACCTCAAGCACCATTGGATCTGCTGGGTCATATGGGTCCAGTGACAGAGAAGCCTGCACCTGTGCAGAGCTTTCTCTTGTTCTGGCCCTCACTCAAAACTAACAGCTTTTGAGTCACCCAATAAGTGGGTTGATGATCAAAATGAAAAAAAAATCCAAGAAAGCACATTTTAGGGTGCTTTCATGAAGACTATCTTCATGAAATGGGGTAGGGGCAAATTTTATGACAGAAAAAAAACAAAGAAGAAAAATTAATTTTACTAGAATCTCCTGTGTGTCAAAAATACCCTTTAAAAAAAGTGAAATATTAATTTATACCTTTTATATGAAAGCTATAACCTAATAACAGCCTAAGAATACGGGGAGAGGGGAGGGAGAGAGGAGAATGGGTGGTGGGAGGGGGATTGGCGGATCACTTCTGTGGTTTATCTTACAAGGGTACAAGCGAATCTTTCTAAGAGTAGCATATGAACATTTTAACACAATAACTAAGAAAATGACATGAAGGCTATGTTAACCAGTTTGATGGGGCAGTGCCTGTAGCTCAAACGAGTAGGGCACCGGCCCCATATGCCAGAGGTGGCGGGTTCAAACCTAGCCTCAGCCAAAAACTGCAAAAAAACAGAAAAGAAAAGATTGGCTGAAAACGGCCCCCACATAACATGGCTTGGCGCCTGTGGCTCAAATGGCTAAGGTGCCAGCCACATACACTTAAGGTGGTGGGTTCAAATCCAGCCTGGACCTGCCAAAACAACAATGATGGCTGCAACCAAAAAATAGCCAGGCATTGTGGCAGGTGCCTGTGGTCCCAGGTACTTGGGAGGCTAAGGTAGGAGACTCGCTTGAGTCCAAGAGTTGGAGGTTGCTGTGAGCTGTGATGCTATGGCACTCTACCAGGGGGAAAAAATTGAGACTCCGTCTCAAAAAAAAAAAAAAAATCACTCCTAGACAGTTTTAAAATAAATCTACAGGAAAGATTTTCACAAATCTCCCTAGATAGAAAGCAAGGGCAGTCAGGTGAGAAATAACTTTTGGTTCAAAAAGAAAGCTTGGATGGAAATGAAAGAAACTCGATGTGGTTTTAGAAAACAAGAG